TTCTGAATCAGCTACTGTTTTGTTATTAGTTTAAGTATTTGCTATTGACTGTTCAAATGCGGAGTTTTGCACAGCGTGTGTGTGTGTGTGTGTGTGTGTGTGTGTGTGTGTGTGTGTGTGTGTGTGTGTGTGCCCTTCTCGCTGTTCGCGGTCTGCTAGCACTGGCAGGGCCTCTTATCTCCCACTGTTTCAGCATCTGCTCTGTACAGCCCCACACAAGCGCTAAACTTTGGCAGACAGACCGCAGAGAGAGGGGCTCTTGCTCTGTGCTGAAATATGAAAATCACACAGATAGATACATTTACCAATGACAGCTTTTGTCATACTGCAGAGAGTGTGATTGTGTGTCATAATGTTGACTGTCGCTAGCGGATTATTATTCAATGGCCCACTTCTTTGCTTTTAGCACCATATTTAGTGTTGTTTTCCATTCTGAGCAGTTTCTATATTGTGGTTTAAGGCTGCATGGCTGGAGTCTGTGACAGTTTAACTCAGCACAGACAAAATAAAAGTTATGAGTGGATTTTCTGTCTGTGTTCAAACGACAATATGTCACCCTAATACAGATTGTACACAATAAAACTGCATATAAACACATTTTTTTTTCTTTAAAGATGAAATGTGTATTGTTTCCATGTCAAAATAGTTTCCCTTGTGAAAAAGAAGTACACTTCAGCACACTACAAGTGCACATTCAATACAATTATGCACTCTAGTTTTTCATAAGGGTTCTATTATACAAGTGTAATATGCAGAGACAACTGTAAGACAGACATTGATGGCAAATGCTGTGGCACTATCAAAATATTGCTCTGAATGTTTGACCTTTCTTACTAGGATGACAGAGCAACATTAGCTCAGTCCAGGAGCTCTGTGATTTGAAGAATGATCTGTTAGCATTGCTATACAGTCTCGATAGAAGGTTATTAACTTGCGCAAGAACCCACAGAAATATGCCATTTAAAATCTGCAATCTTTGCTCGTACGCATCATGGCCACCAGTTTTTTGTGAGCCAATAATATGAGCCATAAATGACTCTGTAGACACAGGAAAATGACATCATCATGATGATGATTATTTGCTGATGGCATCACAAACTCACACCATCCCAACTCCTTTACTAGCAAGCAACTATCCTAAACTGATGTAAAAGGCAAGAGACAGTTAAAAATATAAATACATGTCATGCTTTTAAGAGTCATCCAAACACTTTGGGAACTGATGCAAAATATTGTAAGATGTTGTAGTTATGACACCTACCCAGCAAGGGCAAATGGGATCATGCTAAATCACGACCAGCTGGACTCAGCCAATGGAGTGAGTTTGGTGTGCAACTACCTGTTCTTTTTTGACCAATTGTTGTTTTGTTTTTTTCAGTTCCATTGAGTCACACAATTACCCAATAAACAATGTAAGCCCACTGTCTCACCTGTATCCAGTGTAGTGAAGGGTGGCGTCTATCCTCCGTTCTCTGAGTCCTCTGCATGCTCCACCCTGGGCGGCTCCACCAGCTTCTCATAGGACAACACCATCATGATCTGACCAGAACAATCACCATTAGTCTCAGTGTTAAAGGGTCATTTTACAAATGACATAGACATTTTTTAGATATTTAAAAATTCTGTAATTTTATTTTATTTCATTGTTTTATTTCCTTAATATATATATATATATATATATATATATATACAGAACATATATGGATTTTAGATATTATTTTCTTTTTTGGTTTACATATCATTAAAAGGATTTCAAGTTGTTAACCCTGTTGCTTATTTCCTTAATATATATATATATATATATATATATATACAGAACATATATGGATTTTAGATATTATTTTCTTTTTTGGTTTACATATCATTAAAAGGATTTCAAGTTGTTAACCCTGTTGCCATCATAACAATCTTTTATAAAAAATATTGCACTATTTTAAAAGAAAATCTACAAATAATTCTGCCATGGACACGTTCATTTTCTTTTTCCTTATGTGTTCATTTTTTTTTAGGTTTGTCAAAAGGGAACCATCTTGAATTGTCGCCCCTGTTACTATGATTTTGTATAGTAAATAATTACTAATAAAAAATAAATATAAATATAAAAATAAGTAATCTAATATGGACATTCATGAGAATTTCAACATTGAATTTTTATACTAAGCTCCTTGAAGTGTCAGGAGCTTGGGCACAAGGCTAGAAATTACTACAAAAAACTCTCAACCTTGTTACTGTCAACCCTGTTACTTTTTCGAAGTAGCACAACAACTTATGTTGTTATTATTATAAAGTTGCTTGAGATAGCGCAATACAATTTGTTAACACTTGAAAGTATTCACTGTCTGATCAAATGTTTAAAATCTAACATTTTTACTTATTTCTAAATCACCTTTTTGAAATAAAAAGGCCACAGACTCTAATGACCCTACAATCTCTTTTAATAGAGTTTTTTTTTTTTTTCAGTTGACTGGATCTATAATAGTAACTGTTTGCACAAAGCAATAAATGTAACTATAATTGAGCTGGTAAATGTGGTTATGATGACATACTAAGGGAAATCTCTAATGATTTTCAGAATCAGTCATAATGAGTCTACACACCATGATGAGGGTCAGTAGGAGCATCATCATACCCAGCATCACATATAGATTTCCTATTAGACCCCCTGCCCACAGGGGACCGAGAATGGTGGCAAGACCCCCGACTGAACGCCGTACACCCTGACTAAAGCCTGTGGACACACACACACACACACACATACATACATACATATATACACACACAACACAAAGTCATTAGAATCAGCACATAGTTTTGAATATCTAAACTTTGACAATAAGTGACACTTATACAAACATGAGTGTTACATGTTTACTCAAGATCTCATCTATCTTTTTCTTCTGTCTCTTTTCGTATTCTCAGTGGACTTCTCTTTGTTTCTCACCTTGTGTTTTCTCAGCTGTAACCTTAGAAAAGAGGGACACCTGAGAAACGGCAACAAAAGGAAGTCCCAGTAACTGCAGGAACACTCCGATGATGAACTCAGTCAACTCGAATGCAAAACCACCTAAACAAAAGACATATCGAATCGAGAATGAAAGCGAGAATATCACAGACGATGATAGATAGATAGATAGATAGATAGATAGATAGATAGATTTAAAGCAGTTCCAAACTAATAATGCATATCATTGAGTTGGCACCAAACTGAGCAGGCATATTGTGTCTGTCCATGCCCAGGTGTATGCCAGATTCTCTGGACATCTGCCACACACACACGCACACACACATACACACACCCTGTGGATTGGCCAGGAAGATGAGGCACCAGACACAAGCCCCGCTGCAGATGAGCAGCCCCACTGCCAGCACCACCCGGTCCTCCAGCACACGGCTCAGCCAGCGCACCAGGAAGAAACCTGCAATTACCTCCACCCCACACAGGCTGTACATCACACTGTTCCCCAGCTCACCGAAGCCAAAGTACTTCTGCGTCAGAGGGGTCACCATGGTCTGGAGATGAGAGAACACAGACATTAACTATTCAGAACACCCTAGAAACCACATAGCAACAAGCTTAAAACAGCTCAGAACAACTAATAGCAGGTTTTACATGAGTAAGCATCACTCATATTTTCCTGAGGCAGTGTAAAGTAAATGCAAGATTATAATATATGTAGCATATGATCTTTCGTATAGAAATTTGATTTAGTGTGAAATAATAAAACTAGGCATGATATATCTGATAAAAGATAATGAAAAGGAACATTTGGAACTCTATAACCAGTTTGTCATATCTAGGTCAGGAAACTGGAAGGTAAATGTGTGTCAATTTCAAATACCTGATTATATTAAATAAAATCTTAGATTAAATTAGATTAGATTAGATTAGATTAGATTAGATTAGATTAGATTTAGAAGTCCCTACTAATCAATCATAATTGGACAGACATTATTTAGTAGCTCAGATGAGTGCATATTCAAAGCACATTTTGAATGCAACTTTGAATCCAAAATAACACAATCCAAAATATGTTTTATTTATTATTATTATTATTATTATTATTATTATGTACTGTGCTCTTATTTAAACAGCTTTACAGTAGAAGTAATACACACATTTAACAATACATTTAATTTAGTGTTTTTTTTTTTTATAATTATAAGCTTCACATTTTTTGCTTTTAAATACTGCAAACAGCTCAAAATTATTTTTTAAAAAGATATCAGATGCCAATTTTCCACAAGTTGGTATGATTGTTTTTTAGGGTTTTCATGAAAACATATTTTGGTTAAAATTCCTCAATGTTCATGTAAAACAACACCCTTTTTACCTTGTCAAAAACAGCTAAATTTCGGTGCATGTGTCTTTAAATGTTAATGAGCTACTGCTCACCCCACCCCTCTCTTCCATGGGGCGGACTCCGTATATTTCTCGGAGGTGGTCTTATTCAAATAGCCAGCTATCTACGCAGAAACCAGCTGCAAATTGAAACAGCTCACTGGATGACACAGTTTGAGACTCAGACAGCCCATAACGAGCTTGCTGCGCGTTTTCTTTTCAGCTTTTCAGAGCTGGTAGCCAGAAACCTAACTAAATGCAAAAAAAAAAAAAGCTACAAAAGTGAAAATTTCATCCGATGTCCCCTGTAAAACTTCATATTTCACACATTTGAACCTTATTTGTTTAGCATATTGCTAGCTTACTGTTGCCATGTTTTAGCTAACTGCTAACATGTTTTAACATGTTGCATGTTTTAAAATTGTGCCAGCATGATGTTAAAGGTGCAGTAAGCAATTTCTTAGAAACACTGTTGAAAGTGGAACGGACTGAACACCAAAACACACTTCTAGCCTATCACCAGTAAGGGGCGTGTCCAGTGGTGCAAAAATGGGGTATGCAGTATATGCAGTGCATAGGAGCGCAGCACGGAGGGGGCGCCATTTTGCCAAAATCAATTTGTGAAAATCTTCTTTAATAAAATTGTATAAATAATCAAAAGCTTCGTTGTTAAAAAATCATGTTCAAATGAACTAACAGAGATTGGTAGTTAACAGTATATTTTCATTTCTCTATTGCCCAAAAAGTAAAAAAGTCACAATATATTAGTAAATGGGCGTTTTATTTACATTTGAGAGAAACTGAGAAGATTGTTAACAAGGATGCAAACTAGACAGCTTTTGACAAAAATTGGCATTTTGAATTCAAAATAGGCCATTTGTGTGATTCGCATAGATCCCATGAGTTTTTTTTCTTTTTAACTCTTGCTACTTCAGTCTTCAGGACAAAACAATGCTGAACTTTGACAAAAAAAGTGAAGTGATTTAAATTGTCTAAAATATAAATCCAAAAGCAAAACGTGAAAAGAACTATATTACGGAGTGGAAATGTTAAATGAGATAATAAATGATCCTCTGCTGCCATCTACTGGTCATAGTGGGAATATCATGACATTTTCATTTTAATTGTGTTTGTTTTCCACCGGGTGGCAGACATCTTCCACTTAAAAATGGCAAATTTTCTATGAATTATCTCTGTAAGAAAAATGAAAAAAAAAATGCAGAAGTTCTTTAAAGTTAATTTTACATATAATGTTCTCATTTTATATAAAAATATATAAACAATCAACAATTGCCCTCGCACACCTGAAGGCAATCAATATGTGCATAGGGAAAAAAAACAAAAACAGGTCCAACTAAAAGAAGAAAAATAAATCCTGCACATTATCCTCACTTGCAAATATATAAAAAATAAATGTATTCACATACAACGTTTTGGTCCAATGACCTTACCTGATGAAGGTCATTGGACCGAAACGTTGCATGAGAATACATTTATTTTTTTATATATAAAAAATAAATAAAAATATGAATGATTTTGAGGCAAAATAAAAAAGTACCTTAAATCCCTCCAAAATTTTATTTCTTTATTTTTTATAAATTTTTTGCTGTGGTATTGAAAATGGGGAGGGGGTTCGCACTTTTTTTCACTCTTGATGTGTTTGTATCCTTCCATGCACAAGCTAGTTATTGGGCTTTTGGTTACTGACTTACAGACATTTTTCTGTGAAGGTTAGTGTTAGGGGCTAGAATATGGGGGCGCCCACACTGATCTTGCATACCCCTCAGGCAAATGTGCAGTTGCACCCCTGGGCGTGTCCACTCATGATGGGGGAGTTACCTGTTTTGCATAGCATGTTTGTGGATCCTTTTGGGTAGGGTGTTTTTCACACTTTTGGGTAGTGTTTCTCAGAAATCGCCTTCACCTTTAACACTCTGATACCATTTTAACATCTGGATAGCACATTTTTTAGCATATTGATGTTGATAACATTGGTATCAATTGCTTGCATTCTTTTAGTGTGTTTAACATGCTAGCACGCTGCTATCATATTTTGTTGCTAGCAGATTTTAGCATTTTGGTAGCCTATTGCTAACATATTCTTAACACATTTAAGCACACTGCTGTCATGTTTCAACATGCTAACACATTTCTAACATATTTTAGCAGTTGCTAGCATGTTTTAACCTGTTGCCAGCATGTTAATGTTCCATATTTTGCTTCCATGCTGTTAGTATTTTTTAACATGATGTTAGCACACTGCAAGCTTGTTATAGCATGTTTTATCATGTTGCTAGTCAGCATTTGGTTTACATTTCGGATTATGTTGGTATGTTTTAGCACATTGCTAGTTTTAAAATCTTAAAAGCATATTGTTAACACACTGGTATAGCATGTTTTATCACACTGCTAACATTTTTAACATGTTGCTAGCACATTTCTAACATATTTTAGCACACTGCTAGTATGTTTTAACATGATGTGTGTTGCTAGCATGTTTTAGCATGTTTCAGCATATTGCTACCATTTCCTAAGCTAGTAGCTAGGCTTTGCTAATGGTTCCATAAGTGGGATCCATTACAGCATACCAAGTCAGAATATTCTGAAAGTCTGTGCTGAGTTTGGTAGTCATGGCTTGAAAGCTCTAATGTGGCCTAATATATTTTGGTTTCAGAAGAAGAAGCTTATAGTAGATCAGCAGGTTGGCTTTGTTAAGCCTTTGTTGCTATTCCCCTTTGTTCATCTGACAACAAGTGAACCAGCACTGCTACTGGTGCCACTTTGAAAAAAGTAGTTTCATGAGGCTGATGATGACTTTTACCTCGAGTGCTGTCTGATTGAAGAGAGTGATGAACTGAGCGGTGAGGAGAACCACCACCTCTTCCCTCAGAAACTCTACAGAGAGAAAGAGAGAGAATGCTGTAGATCTCAGGCATTTCAAAGCTGCCAAGACAGGATTGAGTATAATGGAGATATCTACCACATGCACACACACACACACACACACTGCAATCATAGACCAAAAGACAGAATGAGTTGATCAATAAAGCTTTTTCAGGCCACTACTCTCTCAGATTAGCACCTCGGATACAACAGAGAAGGAATCAATGCCACACCAACTCAAAATTCTCTGCCAAATACACACACACACACACACACACACACACAGCACTTTTGTCATTAGACAATAAACTCTGGGCTTCACCTTGACTGGCACTGAAGTTTTCAAAGGGGTCAGCGGTGTCTAGAGAGGGGGAATCTGGAGGAGAAGGTGGGAGTTCAGATGAGAGCTGGGTCTCTGTCTGTTCTGGACTGACGGAGCCATACGAGTCCTCTGCTGCAGCCATGTGTTCATCCTCTAGACTCATGAGGGGCTCATCTTCTTCACCTCTGACCTCTCTGAGGGGCATGTGCTGCTCAGGGAAGGAGTCCAGTGGTGGGATGTCCCAGTACAGAACCATTACTGCAAACTGCATAAGCACCCACATCCCGCACATGAAGAGCTGCATAGGACAGCAAGCTTTAAAAAACAGGCTAACTTACATAAAAGGGCTTAAAAATTATAAACAAACAAACAATAAATAAATAAATAACTTACTGGTTAATCTCACAAAGAACATGTCTGTGTCATGTTTTAGATGTTTTAAATTCTTGTTAGCTTCCTGTGTTTTTAATTTAATTTGTAATTATTTAATTTGTAACACATTACAATAAAGTCTCATTAGTTAACATTAGTTAATGCATTAACTCACAATAACTAAGTAATACATTATTACAGTATTGATTAGTCTTTGTTACCAACTTTTCATTGTTAGTTCATGTTTGCCAAGGACCATTAAATCATATTAGCCACCCCCCACCCACCCCCTAATAATACCAACTCTACTTATGATCTGAATCAGGTCTGTTACATTAAGGAGACATCCAAAATGTGCAGTGTTTCCAAGCTGTATCACTCATTATGTGCAACATAATGTGTTTGAGAATTCAAGTAAATTAATAAGAGATGAGCCAAAACAGACTTACCCCAGGTGAGGTGTACTTATTTACTACAAATGGACCCAGTTTGAAATCACACAACCTTAGAAAGATATTGAAAGCAGGACCTGAAAGTAAAAATGCACATTGGCTAAATATTAAATGGAAGAAAGTACTTTTGCCACTTATTATGTCGTAGAACACTGACTCACCGATCAGAAGTCCAGCCTGACGGCATGCCATGACATCAGCAAAGACTCTAGCTCGCTCATCAGGGAGAGTAGTGCGTGTGAGAAACCCAAAAATCGAGGAACCCGCTCCTGCTCCAATACCTGATGGATGGATGAAGTAGTTAATATGTGATGTACTCAGCATTCATGGAAATATAGATAGTTTTTATTTATTTATTTATTTATTATTTACATAAAAATGTATAGAAATTATATTTTGCATACAGAAAATGAATGCATTTTTATTTACATACTTTTTTACATACATATTTTTTCCCACTTAATTTTTCTCCCAATTCTGAATCTGTCAAAATACATAATATTATATGTAACTTATTAAATGGTGTGTGTGTGTGTGTGTGTGTGTGTGTGCGTTTTTGTGATTTATGAGGACACAAATTTGTATAATGACATGGGTATGACATAGGTATTACAAGGAGAAGGTGACTTATGAGGACATTACCCCATGTCCCCATTTTTCAAAACGCGTATAAATCATACAGAGTGAGTTTTTTGAGAAAGGAAAAATACACAAAATTTCCTGCAAGGGGTAGGGTTAGGTGTAGGGTTGGTGTAGGGCAATAGCACATACAATTTGTACAGTATAAAAACTATTTTGCCAATGGAATGTCCCCACAATTCACAAAAACAAATATGTGTGTGTGTGTGTGTGTGTGCGTGCGTGCGTGCGTGCGTGCGTGCGTGCGTGCGTGTGTGTGTGAGCTGAAAGGCCTCTGCCAATGATAGTCTGGTTCAGTGTTTGATGTAAGCTGGTCCTGCACAGCAGAACCCTTCACCTCCCCCAGCTCCACCTGTCTCTGCTACAGGAATTATGCATGGCTATTCATGCAGCATCAGCATACAGTATCTTAGACGCACACACAGATATGGACAAAAATATTGTGACACACCTCTTAATTATTGAATTCAGGTGTTTCAATCAAACCCACTGCCACAAGTGTATTAAATCAAGCACCTAGCCATGCAGTCTGCAGTGAATTTAAGTGTGGTACTGTGGATGCCATCTTTGCAATAAGTCAGTTCATGAGCTTTTTTGAGAGCTCCTTTGACTTGGCCTATCTGCTACTTTATGTATGTGTAACAACCCAAGCCAGTTAAGTTTTGTTATAGAGTTTCCAATGGTTTTATTGTGTTTTCACACAATTTTGTTCCCTACCATACAAATAAGTGGCTTTTTAAACCAATGTTGAATAGGGGTTGAATATTACCAACAAAAAAATAATAATACAAATCTTATTACTCAAAAATATTACATTATATATTGACATTACCAGTTTTAATAAAATACCAAACTGTTATAGATGCAACTATTACATTTGTAAATTATTACAGTATCTAGGGGGGTTGAATATTTTTGATTGCAATTGCGTGTGTATATTTATTTTATAGTATATATTTTATACTTTATTATACATAATAGATTCATACATCTAAACAAGTTATTGTGTCTGGTCAGGATGATTCAACACTGCACTAATTACAATCTAATGAGAATCATTAATCAAACAACAGATCTCTCTGTTAGCATCTGTTTGATGTCTCAAATTACATTAATGTTGATGCTTTGCACCACAGGAGCAGGGAAGTTCACAAACAAACGCAACTTTCTGAGACTAACAGAACAGTGCAACTTCAAAATATCCTCACCTGCAACAAGTCGGCTGGACAGAAGAAGCCATTTTGAATATCCCATAAAATACATGAAGTTTCCTATAAGGCAAGTGTGTTGCAATGAGCAAGTCAAAGAGATCATAACTGCACAAGAACGAGGGATTTTTGATCTATTTCAAAACCCAAATCACATTATACATCTCCATTCTTCAGTACTGACCCACAATTTCAAACACATTGGAGAAGAGGATGATGGTCTTTGTAGCTCTGGTCTTGTCTGACCAGTGACCAAATACTGGACCAGACACCAGCCCACTGAAGCTGAACGCAGATAGACCCAAGCCAAGAAAATAAGGTGGTGCCTCTAATAACTGCAGATATCTCCATATAGTGGGCAGAATAACAGCTGGGAGAGAGATAGAAGACGATTTAAACAGTAGATGTGCAAAATTCAATCAATACATTCACCATTTACACATTAATAGAGTTTAAGGCTTTCTTGAGGATATTAAGCACTATCGATTCAAACAAGCAATCTTGCTGCATGGATTTTTTTTTTTGTATTAGGGAGAAAAGAAAAGAAAAGAAAAGAAAAGAAGAGAAAAGAAAAGAAAAGAAAAGAACTAGTCAAATATACGTACCATATTCCACGCCACTCAAAAGAAATATTAATCCAATAGTAAGAAAAGACAGCTTTCTTTTTTGTCTGTAATCCATCATTGTGTTTCTGTAGGTTATATTCTCAGCACTTGATCATTCCTCTTCCTCATGGTCCAATTATTGTAATGAGAAGGATGATGTTCTCCATTACTGACTCTGCTATGTAAGCTCGTCTTACTGTAGGCTATGTCTCTATTTTGTGGGTCATGGCAAATGTATTATTCAGCAAAAGAAAAAGTATCAACCATGTGGTGTCGGCGAGTTTCGGAAAGACTAGGGAAAATTTGGTTTTTAGACAAACACGCTGTCATTGTTCAGTGGATCCCTTTTTCTTGAATATGATCAGTCAGGTCCCCCTCATGAGCTGAAGATAACTGCTGTATAATCTACCTCCTCACTGATGCAACACTGAAGATAAACGGGGTTCAGACACTTCAGGAGTGTCTGTACAGAGAACAAGCACCAGAGATCTAGTATTACCTGTGGGCTTGTATCCATTATTTATCATGTTCAGGTGAAGTGGACTGTAATTCTACTCCCTTAAAGCTGTATCTTCACTTCTTTGGATCTTTATTACAGAAATTCAGCTAATTACTAACTGACAATGATATAGATTTCTTCATACATAGGGTGATACTTCATGATAACTTCATTAGTTAGTCATTAACAAACATGGTTTTTATTATAATACCACTCACAAACATACTGTGGTATTACAATGATTTTTTGACACATACCTGGAGTCTTGTGTAATTATCCATGGTATATGGTAATCATTCAATACCATGGTATATCGAAGTACCACGGCTTATGGTGATACCATAAGTGTACCATGGTACCTCCTATGTACATCTCTGAACATTAGAAATGTAATGATAGTTGTATTTGAATGTACCTTCACTTGTGAAAAAGGAGTGTGCTTGTATTAAATGTGCACTTATAGTGTACTTCAATTCTTACAAGTCTATTTTTTTTTTTAAACTGTACTTACAGATAACATAATATTCATGAAATAAAAGGCTTCTAAAAAGAGCATGCTTTCATGACTGTTTCTTGCTTTAAAGTACACTTTTTGATGTGTTTACTAATATATTAAAGCACAAAGTACTTGATTATGAAATTAACTTTAGTGTGTTATTCAATATTAAATGTGAAGTTTAATGTTATATTTTATTATTATTATATTATTACATGTATTTGCTCATTTATCATTCAAATTATTTTTTTAATGTACTAAATATATTCTAATTCATAACATACTGTACAAGAATCAATAGAAATTAAAGTATAAGCATATTTTAGTTTGCCATAAATTCTTGCCAGTACATTTGACAGTACACTTCAAACATATTTGAAAAGCAATAGTAATAATAGTAATAAATTATATGCAAAGATATACTTAAGTACATTGAAAAAGCCCTCTAAATTTCAGCTAATTGCATTTAATACATGCTATACTACATTTAATAATGCATTTTATTTTTAATTGCAAATAGCATGCAATATGCAGTTCGAAAACTTTACATTCAGTTTGCGCTCAAGTATATTATTTTAAAGTATATTATTAAAGTATAAAGTATTTTATTTTCATAATAAGTATCCTAAAGTATCTGTTAAGAATTATGCAATATTTGTTAATGACTTCTTAGAAAATGTGTTATAAAATGTTTCCCTTGCATGTTTTGTATTTAAAATTCAATTAAAATTCATTCAAATTAAAGGGGTCATATGACGTTGCTAAAAAGAACATTATGTTGTGTATTTGGTGTAATGCAATGTGTTTATGCAGTTTAAGGTTAAAAAAACACATTATTTTCCACATAATGTACATTATTGTTACTCCTCTATGCCCCGCCTTTCTGAAACACATTGATTTTTACAAAGCTCATCGTTCTGAAAAGCGAGGTGTGCTCTGATTGGCCAGCTATCCAGTGCGTTGTGATTGGCTGAATACCTCAAGCGTGTGATGGAAATGTACCATACCGTACTGTGATGCCGTGTCCTGGCACAACCAGATAAAATCAATAAAACCCATTACAAACAAGGTATTTGTTGCATCCAGTGGGGACATAATTACTGATTATAATTACTTATACTGTCTTTTTACGCGTTGTGTTGCGTATCGCGCTGCGTAAACATAACCTTGTCTGGAGAAACAACAAACAGCAAGTGCTACTCTACACTGCTCAAAACTCGCATTTGAATCGTCAGTGGCAAATTCTTTAAATATAAAAACCGTACTTACAGGCTGTGAGTCAGAAGCGCCAGACTGTCCTTGCAAAGTTGGAACTGACTTAACCACTGATTTCTAGTTGTGTCCTCTTTTGGAAGACCAAACAAAGTAGTTTCACTTTCACAACGAAACATACAGCGTGACACACGGCGGCCTAGAGTGAGAAACGGCCGGCGGGCTGAGTGAGCGGCGACCCGCGGATTCGAAGAAGGAGCGTCCGGCGGGCTTGCGGCAACCACATGGCATCATATGACCCCTTTAAAATGGTTTATTTTTTAAAACCAATATCTCCTTTGTTTTCTTGTGACCCATATGTTTGTCTCTCATAGAGTTATCAGCATAATTTGCTTATCTTATGTTAATCATAATGTACTATGCTTTTACTGTATATAGACACCATGTTCTTTTTCACAAAGGCCTCTGAAAGTACTTTCATATGTATCAGCCAGAGGGGTTCTGGTAACCAACTAACAGCCATCTAGTAATACCCTAGTTACCGCCATCCTAGTAATGCCAGAACAGCTTATACTTAATATGTTTTCTTTAGACATAAGCCAAAATGTTACTTATTTATTTCTTCAAAATGCTGTTAAGAAATATGGTACATTTTCATAAGAGCAAGTACAAATCCGAATCGAGAGCCATGTGTAAATGGGTTCTAATGATGAGTGATGGAAAAACCTCACCTTCAGACATTCCAAGAAATGGCATAGATTAAATCATTAAGAGCCTGATGAACTGTTAAGGAGTAAGAAATAAACAGTATCAATATAAGAAAATGTTAAGTTAGATTGACTCCCCCCCAATGTTCAAACCAAAACTACACCCTTGTTCTTACTACTTGTCTTCTTTCAGAGTCAGAGTATATGACACTAGCATTCTCTATTCTTTTTCTATTCTATCTTCTTGTTTTCTTTATTATAAAAAATGACCCTCTAACACTAGCATTCTCTATTCTTTTTCTGTTATTTTGGCTTGTTTTATTTTTATTACAAAGGCCTTCTGTAGTGAATCGATGCGTTTTTGTAAGAAAAATATCCATATTCAAAACAGTCTAGTTTAATAGCGACATAAAGCTATACCATGCACAGAAGAACGCATGGTTTGAGGTAAGATTTGGAACTTACATCATTTTAGAATCTGTGTTACAGTAAAGTAAAGATAATTCCATGAGTTTCTGCAGAAAGGGCTGGGATTTGGACACTTTTACATAATAGTTTATTTTTTATGCAGTTCTTTGTTCATTTACTTCATTGTTTTGTACATGTAAAAAATAGAATAAGAAAAAAAAAACAGTCAGGAGTGCTTAGAATCCCATAGGACGTAATTATGGTCTGGCTGCAGGGGCTCCTATAGAAACCCTCTGTAGCATTCCTGTTCAGGCAAAGGAAAGATATTCCGCTGATCTCATCTGGATGAGAAGAAAACAATCCCTTAAGTGCACTCTGTTGTGCACTACAGGTCAGACGGCTATGCAGCATGCTGGTTCTGTGTCTGGATGTATAGTACATTGACCTTGTCAAAGTGGGGTCAGTGTTGTGTTAATTTAGTGCTGTAACCCAGTTAAGGGTTACTTAGTAAGATAGAAATGCTGTTGAATCAGTCCCCTCGGGGGTCTTTCAGTGTTCCTGTTAACATCACCCTGCAGGGTGCGCGGCGATGACACATGCGGTACATATGGAGATCACATCCACTGCCTTAGTCTTCTGTTTTATTAAAGCTAATTGTCCAGTTGTGACACTAGTATGAGATACGAAAGTATTTAGCATTGAGTTATTCCAAATATAACAATAGCAGTCTAACTGACAGTCCGTCATAGTGTCTATTTCCTGTCCACCACTGTTTTATATTTAACTTTATATCAAATTAAGTGATGGGATAGTTCACCCAAAAATGAAATTGTCTTCATTTACTCACTCTCATGTTATTCCAACCTGTATGTTCTTGAAAAAAAAAGAAAAAAGAAGTGTGCTTAACTGTACTAAATGTGCACTTGTAGTGTACTTCGAATCTTAAAAGTGTATTTAAAAAAAGCTGTACTTACAGATAATATAATAATTAAATAAGAAGCCACTTAAATGTACTTAAAGAGAGCATACTTTCTTAACACGTTAAAAATTGCACTTTGTTATAATGTCAGATAGTTATGTTGATTGAAAGCGTGTAATTGTAATGAAAGCATGAGATCAGTTTTTAAAAGAATTACTAGCTTATCAGTATATTTAAATTGTGGTTATATTAAAATTTAAACTATAATACATTTTAATTTAATTGTAAATAACGTGCAAGTAACTGTCCAAAAAAAATACATTCAGTTTACACAATTATATTCTTTCCATAATAAGTATTCTTTGAGTAATCCCCCAAGTCATAAGTCATACATAATCATACATAATAATAATATACAATATAAGTAACTATATGCAATATAGGTGTTTGAGTTGCTTTTGAAAGTATGAACTGCTTTTATAGTTTTATTGGTTTTATTTATTTATTTATTTAGAGAATTTCACTATGCATTTCTGATGAGTCTTCAGAATTTCTACTTTTGTATTTCATGGAAAAATAACAGCATATAGGCTTGTAGTGACATAAAGTTATGTAAATAACATCTGGGTGATTTATTCCTTTAACAGTTTTTTAAGGATGTCTTCTACCAGCAAGCCCAACTGCAGGAAAATGGAGGCAAGTGGAGGAAAGAGAGGGAGATGAAGTGCAATGAGAAAGCCAGAGCTCAAATCCCAGAGTCCAGTGTGGGAGAAGAAAGAGCTGTTCTCTTAAGCTTCACCATGATGACCTTCTCCAGTTCATCCTCGTCTACTTT